CGCAGCCGCCGCCCCCGCCCGGGGGCAGCGGCGGGGCCTTGCGCGGCGGCCCGCGGGAGGCGCCCGCAGGCGGCGGAGGGCCGCCGGCGGAGGGCCCGTCCTTGGTCATGGCGTGCGCCGGGGACGCGGGCGGGCGGGATGGGCGCGCCAACGGCCTCCAACCGCCGCCTGGGCGCGGCCGCGGAACGCTCGGGCCTCTCCGTTCGAGGCCCCGCCCTTTTCCCCTTCCCGCCATTGTCTGGCACGCGCCCGCCGGGAGGTGCGCGGCCTGCCTGTTGTCATAGAAACCGAAGAAGCCCCCTCTGGGACGGAGCGAAGGCTTACCTGGTCCGCCATCTTGTTTTTCGCAATGGCCAAAGGCCAGCCGTTCCTATTTGGCGCCCTGAGTGCCGTGAGACGTTGTGAAGGGGGAGATATAAAAGCGTCAAATAAGTTCTTATATATGGACAGAGATACTTTTTTAAAGAAAAACTATAGCAATATATAAAAGTGCAACTATTTATTTACAGCTTTGCTATCCCATCCTATTACAAAAAGTCTCTGGGCGATCGTACGATAAAAATAAAAAAGCACCGCATCACATCCTCAATAAAAACCCAATTAAAATAGTAATTAAACCCTAAAATACCAGGAAAATAAAAGGGTTTGGCCTGTCACCAAAAAGAATAAAGTGTTGGCACCAGGCACACCTCTCTAGGGAGTGTATTCCATAACTGGGGTGCCACTGCAGAGAAGGCCCTTCTCTGGGTGGCCACTCCTAATCTTCAAAGAGGGCCTCCGAAGAAGGATCTCTGACCCAGACCTTAAGGGGCAGGCAGGCTCCTGAAATTCAGGTCCTAAGCTGTTTAGAGCCCTACAGGTCATCACCAACACCTTCAATTGGGCCCGGACTTCAATTGGTAGCCAGTGTAGATGGTAAAGGACCTGCGTTATATGTGCTTATCTGCCACTCCTTGTTAACATCCCGACTGGAGGGCAAAGCTCTCTCCACTATAGTGGCTGCAATAATAACAGCTGAATTCCTCCGGAGGAATCTGAAAAGCACCTGTCCCCCAGGTAGTCCCACTTTTGTCGCCACCCCTTTTCAAGGGAGCAGGATTTGCATGTTACCACAGTTTGGTATCACCTGAGAAAGGGGTCCCTTATTGTGGAGGCGATACTGCACACGTTACTGCAAGTAGATTTTGAGGGGTGCTACAATGAAAAAGCAAAAGGGAAAGAATGTAAAAGATAACGGTAGATGGAATCACAAGGCATGTGTGTTTACACACATGAGATGTGTGGAGGATGCACATGGTCAAGCTGAAGGTGTGACTGCAGCATCTTCTGTCTGTGAAGCTGTGCTGAGAAGCAGGACATGCTGCTCCACAGATGCGCATCCCAAGGAGGCGGAAGACTCAAAATCCTGCCTTCGCTCAAGGGGACCCTTCCACTTGGGGTGGGGGGGCTTACGGATTTCCTTCACAGGCAGCCATGAACAAGGTGCTTGCACCCACAGCACGTAGCAGCTCTTCGGACCATGCGAGTCGTACGGTGCCCATTTTGAAGTTGTGCATTAGCAGTTATGCAAATAGGTCGACCACAGCATGTGCCAACTGCTTCTGAAGAGGAAGTAGAATCTGTGTGGAATCTAAGGCTATGTGATAGGGTAGATGTGAAATATGTTTAATAAACAATCCTTTGAAACACATGGAAGCTTTGGTAAGCAATGTACAAAACTGATTTTTTAAAAATAAAAACTAGCCCATGTGGTGCAGTGGTGAAGCGTGTGGGTCCGTGACTCACGTGATCTGGGCTCTCGTCCCCGCTTGGCCATGGAGCCGACTGGGTGCTTTTGGGCCAGTTGCAGACTCTCGGTCCAGTCTACCTCACAGGGTGGATGTTGGGATAAGACTGGGAGCAGGAGGAAGAGAATGATGTAAGCCTCTTTAAGCTCTTGAAAAAGGTGGGATATAAATCTAACAATAATATCAGTCCTTTACAAGGAAAAGTACCTTCTGGGAATGCCTTTTGGAAAAGCTGTTTTCTGTGGGAGCTGAAAACCCAGTAGGATTGGTGCCGACCCTGCTGCAGTAATATGGTGTATACTAAGAATTTTAAGATTTCTAACGGCCTATTCTGAGCTGTGATGGATAAAACCTCTGAAATCTTCGGTACCTTGGGAAGGGTACCCTGCTGAGCTCAAGAACTGTGCAGGCTGATAGGCGACCTGGTCCTCAGTTCTGGTCCTGAATTCTGGTTCAGTTCAGTGGTGGTGAACACTTTCTTGTCATCTGTATCACTTTTCAGCACACACATGACCTGATTTATGCAAGGTATCGCCCAGAGGTAAAGCCCTCACCCATGAACAGCTCCATGCATGTCCCTTCACATTTAAAAAAATGCTTTCTATTTCCATATGAAGTTGGCACTCCTTGGAAGGGCATTTCAAGAAGGTGGATGAGCAGAAATGACACTCATTCCCACAGGGAAACCTTCCTAGTTCATGATTTTCAGCTTTGTGCTTCACGTTCTAAGTCTGAATACTTCTGCAAAGTGTTCATTCTAAGAAAGGAAGTAGAATCCCACCTCATCTCCCCACTTTTCCAAATTGCCGACATATAAGCACACATTGGTACCTTTTGATGGGGACTGTTTGAATCCATTTGGATTCCTTGAAAGCAGTATTTGGCTAAACACGTACAGTTGCAGTTGCAAACAGATTTATAGATATTTAATTACTTACTCCCATGCCAGAAAGCAGGCCAAAAGTTTACAAAGGGTGAAACCTCTGAATCACAAGGCAAAGGTTGCAACGTTAGATAAATATATGTTGGATAATTCTCTTGTGCCGAGAGTTTATCCAGACACAGCAATGGATACTGCAATGCTGAATTTGAATTTTTTAAAGTGGGATTGCAGAAATCCTAAGGGGGGAGGGAAGGAGACTTTTGATGCTTTTTGTGTTCCATGGGAAACCTCTGGTTAGTCTTCTCTTTCCCTCAATAGAAGCAATTAGGGGTTTCTGGATGTAAAACTTCTTGCCAACAAGGTGTCTTGGAATGCTCCCCCCCCTTCATCTCTTGATTCTTTAAGATTCTTTAGGTGCCTGGAAAAAAGCCAGGAAGCATTAAGAAAATGTCCCAAGGGGAAGTGTTTTGGCCTCTTTTGAACCAAGACTTTCTGTTTAAATAGAATTATAACTGGATGTCAGCATTAAGGAGAAGGTGCTTTGCAGGGCAAGTCCATTTGCTGGAGCTTTGATAAAATATATGTGTATAATTTATGCAGCTGTTCTGTTAATCACACACTGTACTTAAGACAGCGATTAAAGCCCATCGCATTAATTTAATTGAAAGAAAAAAACTCAGGGAATTGTACTAGATTTTCCCCATTAAATTAAAATAACAGCTCTCGATTAGATGTCCTAGGTGTCCATTGTTGTTAGCAGATAATGGAATTATTATGCAAATTGGGATCTGCCCTTAATTTTTCTGGCCACTGATGCCTTCTTCTCTCCCTCCCTGTCTCACACATTTCTTTTTCCCCAAGCCCAGCTGTAATTATATTCCTTCTTTATTTTTCCCCACCCCAGGAATATTGATGTAGGCTGAGATCCAAAGAGGTACTTTCAGCACACACAGCAGCATACATCCACCTGGTAGGATTTCTGATTTTTTTTTTCTTTGAACAGCAGAACTATTGAGCCTTCTTCCCACCTATGTTATCTTAGAATAAACTGCGTTTGAAATTGAGCCTTCAGTTTCAAAGCATTGTGCCATACAACATGGTGTGGCTTGTCTTCCAGAAAAACTGGTCCAGCCTCTGCTTCTCTTCCTCACAATTCTCATGACAAATGCAGCTAAGCGTGCTGCACAATGTGGCTTCTCATAGTGGTTTAAACATTATCTGCAGTGAATGGGAAACAAAGTGCAAAGTTTTTCAGGCTGCGGTCCTAGACTCATTTTTCTGGGAATAAGCCCTGTTAAACATCTGAGTAAAAATGCATAGGATCGCACTGTTCACTTGACAAATACAAATTTGACAAGGATTGTTACTGCCTTACAATTAATTGAAAACTTGCGATTCAGACTTCAATTAAGTCAAAGCTTGTATATCTGAAAGTGGAATTTTCACAAGCAGGTTAATAGTCATCTGAGTTCCGAAATTTTGCCAGGTTTGTGTGCTATGGATGTTTATTCTTCTGAAAACACTGCATGAACCCTATAATAAGAGAGACTTTGGCTATGAGGAGGCATACAAATGCAATAAACAAACATAAATAGCCTGCATATGTTGCCCAGCCAGTGTGAGCAAAATGACCCCAAGAAAACCTCCAGGTGTGCTGAGTGACATGCGTGGAGAGGTTTGCCCTGGAGTCCCTGAAATCCTGGATTGCCAGCTGCTTCCCTGTTGTCATTATCGCTGCCCCAGGAGAATATGTGGGTGTGGCTTATGCAAACAGGTCATATAAACAAGTTTTTGGTTGATTAATTTAATACTTTATATTTTGATATGGATTATTTATTTTGATATTGGTTAATGTATTGGCTGTGCTTATTGGTGTGTGTGTGTGTACAATTTATGATGCGATGTTATTTATGGTTTTATCTATTTGATCAGATTATCAATTGTTGTACTGTATTATATCTATGTTTTTATGTTGCATAGCATTTGTGAGCTGCCCAGAGAACCTTCAGGTTATGGGGTGGCATAAAAATGTAATGAAATGTAACAAACAAGCAAACAAACAAGGCAGTATCGGGACTTGGCCAAGCTCCAAGACAGACCATTGCTGTAGTTTGACCTGGGCAGTCTGAGGTCCAACAAAGGACGTTGGTATGGTCGAATTCAGACAGGGTGCAGAAGAGGTAGGACAGGATCCAAACCAGATGTGGTGAAATATAGGTTGGCGTTTGGGTATCGAATTCAGAATGGCTGCTATGTCTGCAGTAAGTTACCTGGGCCAGCCAGGTCCCCATAAGAGCCTCTGGACACTTCATCCAACTGAGCTGATAAATTGTACTTCTCTCTCTGGCCTGTGCAAGGCAGCACAAGAATTGTCACAGCATTAATTTCAGCAAGGATGTGCAAGGAATCTGCTTGAGGGGTCGAAGTCCAGCCAATTGGCTTGATTCAGCTCCCCATATTCTGGCTCATCTACTCCTTGCTGGCACTGATACAATATGACACAGACCAAGGCAGTTCACAGTCTTCTGCTTTTCAAGTGTGCTGTGCTTGGTGCTTTTCTTTTTTAAATGCTGAGGACGCTGGATAAAATATGGCCACAATTTGTGCAGATGCAGCCTCAGTTTGCACAGATTGTGGCAGTGTTTCACACAGATTTCCCTGTCACT